CTTTCCAACAATTCACTAAAAATGTTTTTATGAAGTATTCTATTTTATGTTCTTATGAAGTATTCTAATTTGTTGAGATTGTGAATTGGTGGGTTTTTGTTAAATGTGAGCCAAAATCATCACAATTAAAAGAACCAAAGACTTAAACTACTTCAGTCTGTGTGCATTGAATTTATTTAATACACGAGTTTCACAATTTGAGTTGAATTACTGAAATAAATGAACTTTTCCATGACATTCTAATTTATTGAGATGCACCTGTATATCCAGTGTGGTTCTCTTATAAAATACAATGTATTATGCTAAACGTTCCAGTTCTGTATTTGCATATTTCCAAGCTTTTTTATCACTTCAAAATATTATAATAGTATATTACACACCCTCTTGCTGACACACTCAGGAGAGAAGCAGCTCAAGTCCAGATTATGAATGAATCAATGTTTTGAGCCAGATCTTTACAGTTAATCTGTTGACCCAGTCATGATGTTTATCATGTTACAGTTGAAACTGCAATCTGGAATTTTTCTAAATAGCTGAAATATGACATTGTTGACATTTTATCCTTTTTTGGCTCTCTGATCTCCGTCTGTGGCTTTCTTTCCTCTCCCAGAATCCTGAATTACTGAGGCATTAGGGGTTCACATAAAATAAAATACTTAAAATTAAACATATACTGTAACATGCAGAAAAAGCACTCAGAGGCTTATGTTCATTTGCAGAATTTAACCTGTATGGCTGATATATATATATACGATAATTTTAGTTTGTCTGATATTTACTTCATTTCCTATGTACTATTTCTAAGGTGCCTAGAATCATGGGCAGTTTTGTTCAGGATGTTTAATTAATGCCATAATCTGCTGTGTGTTTGGTTAGAATGGGTTAGTTTAGATCAGTGTTTCCCACGCCTGTTCCTGGAGGCACACCAACAGTACGCATTTTGGATGTCTTTTTTTTATCTGACCCATCTTTTTCAGGTGTTGGAGTATCTAGTAATGTGCTTATGTATGGAATCAGGAGTGTTTGATTAGGAAAAGCTCGAAACTGTTGCTGTGCCTCCAGGAAAAGGCTTGGCAAACGTTGGTTTAGATTGTTGAGGGGTTTGTTTTTGGTGACTTTTTTTCTACATATTACATGAGATTCCAAGCATGTCTGTTTTGGGGTTTGTATAACAACCCTTTACGACCTGTCACAAATGTTGATGTGACATTAAAATGACCCCATAAAAGACCATCTGAACTTCAAAATTTATTCCTCACCTCCTATGGCACCACCATGATCAAGATTCTTGCGTTTAAAGGCTCGAAATGTGATGAAAAGAGGGACAAGCACGGAGAACAGCCACCGCCATGGTGATACTGGCTGCAGAGTACCTGCAAAACAGTATTTTATATGGAATGATCTGGACATGAAAAGTCAGAATCCTCTCAATTTTACATTACCATACAATTTTGTTAATTAACATGACTTTTCCAAAGCATATGTGAACCATGCTGTTTACAATTTCAATTTGCTTTCAAAACCAATTATTTAAAAAGAAAATGATTTTGCACACTTATGGCGCTTTTCCACTGCATGGTAAGGCTCACTTTTGGGGGGTTTTCCACTGGGTACAGTACCAGTCGCGGCAGTAGAGGCGGTGCAACTATAACGACATGTGGATAATCCCGCCCACTCTAAAGCGGTACTAAACTGCAGTGGAAACGCAAACCGAGCCGTGTCGTGCCGTACCGAGCCGAGTCGTACCACGCAGTGGAAAAGCGCCATTATTTGCAAATATCTACATTTTGATTTTGCACTGTGTGCACTTTGTATAAACACGCACTGTAATTATTACAATTAAACAACATCTTTGTAATACTGTTGCCATACTTTGTTGTATGATAACGGTCACAATAATCTCTACTCAATATTTTCCTACTACAGGTTTTAACTAAATTTTCATCTTTAGTAACTAAATTTAAAGTGATTAAAATTGTGCCTGTGTGTGCACAGTAATACACAATAAATAATAGCCAGTTTTTCTGTGTTGGGATATCATGGCTATGTCTAAAGCTGCAAGCTGCAAGGATACACTGTGTGTGTAGATGGTGGAAAGAATAATGTATAAATTACAACTGTTATCAATTGGTCAGTTTTTAGTGACATTTTATGCCACATTTTTTTAATGAAATATAATTTTTAGAAATAAGTACTGTGATCTCAAAATATTTTCTTTGGTTATTTATAAAGTTAGTTTAAATTTACATTTAGATATTTAGACATGAGGTTAAGGTGTCTTAGAAACCTATTTCCATAGGAGGCCCTTTCATACACATACACTGAGTGTATGAAACTGAGCAATAAGTCTGGTTTCACACACAGCCCTTATGTATTTAAACAGAAATTAGAAAGTGAACTCTCACCATAGTATGTGCTGGCAGTTATGGAAAGGAACCAAAATAATAATGAAATTGCCAGTGTGAAACACAACACGATCATATACGCCATCATCCTGATGTAATCTTTGATGAATATACCATCCTCAAATTGCATGTTCATTGAAGAATGCAAAGCTATTGAGAAAATCAGACAGAACAGAGTGAAATGTCAAACAAATATTGCTTATTTTTTCCTTTTTTTAAATAATTGTGTTAAAAAGGATTGTTAATCCCACTGTTACCTCCCCCTTACAAAAATCTATCATGCTCATTTTCTGTACAGCTCCCTAGATATATTTAATGATAGTTTCTGTAAAATAATAAGTGTAGTAACTTATATTAACTAATTTGTAATAACTTTTCAACCATGTATTACACTATCATACAAAATAAAAAAGCATCAAATTTTCAGAGCTCTGTGGATGCAATATTATTTTGTATTATAAGATGGCATCCCACTATATAATAATTTATTATACGTTTACTGTGTTAAATATAACTGTAGTAAGTAAGGTAATTTGGACACACAATTGATTTCTGTACAGTTGTGTACAAGCTTCTAACATGCTTTACTACCCTGATTATTAAACTACAGCCAAAAACGCCTGAAATAATCCTGGCACAAATACTTGTTCCCGACTTGTTCCATGTTTCCCGAAGTTCAGCCAAGTTTGACAGTTTGTAATAGTAATATTTGCAGAAACACAAAAGCTCAGTTCACTTTGAATAAATAGACTGATTTCCGGTAAGCTCAACTAAACAGCGCAGCCCAGCTGACCTATCAGGATAGAAACACACGGAAAGGGAAAAAGGCAGCTTTACCTTGATTGGTGGAAATCATCTGTCAATCGGGCGGGATCTGCGTGTAATATCTTCTTCTATCTTTGCTTTTATGGAGCGTCACAAACGTCTCTAGTGCCACCTACTGACTGTACTGTAGCCAGACGAGAGAAACTACAGCCATTATTACAGTGAAAATGAGTTTCTTCAACTATAGCTCGGTGGACTTTAACAAAAAATAAAATAATAATAATAATAATAATAAATAAAAAAAATGTATAAATAAAAATATAAAAATAATAAATAAATACAAATATCTCAAAACACCTTTTTTCGCTACTATCTGTAATTTGTCAATATATAATATACAACAATAAATTAACATGTCACAGAAAAATTCTGTCATTTGTCATTTTTTAAAACATTTTCATCACAGCTCAGTGTATTGTGCACAATGTGCACATAACATTTTAAATAAGCACATAACTGCTTTTCATGTTTTATGGGAATTCATGGGAGTAATTTTTATATTGTACAAACTGTATTTTTTATCCTCTTACCCTACCCCTAAACCTACTCTTCACAGAAAACTTTCTTCATTTTTAGATTTTCAAAAAACTTAATTTGTTATGATTTATAAGCTTGTTTCTTCGTGGGGACCAAAAAACATTTGGTTCCCATAATGTAGGGAATGCCAGGTACACACACACTTTTAACAAACCTTTGTTTGTGCCACTTAAAAACGATTTTAGTTTTCATACAGAGGCTTTAATGTTATGTTAAAAGTGGTAATAGTGAAGTCATAATTATATATATATTACATAAATTATATTTCAAAGTATATATACTTTGAAATATAATCTATATAATATATATAATATAATTTATTACTGTGATGCAAAGCTGTTTTCAGTATTACTCCAGTTTTCAGTGTCACATGATCCTTCAGAAATCATTCTAATAAGCTGATTTATTATCAATGTTATCATTTGTGCTGCTTAATATTTTTTGTAACCAGTGATACTTCTTTTCAGGATTATTTGATTAATAAAAAGTAAAAAAATAAATAAAAAAAAAACATTTATTTACAATAGAACTCTTTTGTAACAATATACATTCCCGCTCAAAAGTTTGGGGTAATTTATTTATTTATTTATTTTAAACATAATACTTTTATTCAGCAAGGGTGTGTTAATTTGATAAAAAGCGATAGTAAAGACATGTTGGAAAAGATTTTTATAATCTCAGTGTAACGCATTATATAATATCTTAATGTATCTTAATTTTATTGCAACTTCTTTAACTGTTAACTTTATCTTTTATTTAACTACTATTTTAATGTACTATATACTATCAATATACAATCATAAGTATAGTGACCATATTGATCTGTTTTTGAGGCAAATCAATGCAAAACCACAGCAAGTTATTACGGTAGACATGGACACATTTTACAAACTGTGGGTATTATAAAATTATGACAGAAAATAATTAAATGATCAAAGCACTCACTTACCCAGACATAAGAAGAAATGCATGACTTGTGCATCTCAGTGTGATTCTGTGCATGAAAAAGCATGATAATGCATGTCAAGAGATAGATCACATGATATTAAAGGGGCTTTCTTTTCTGCAACACTTTTGATTGCTGATTTCAACATGCCAGACATCATCTCAGATCAACAGAGTTACCAAGTCTAATATTGGGCTACTCTAAACTGTTGCTGCAGGTTGATTTTTTTTCCCCCAGAGGTATATTTTACCAATGATATAACTGTGCTGGATAATGACCAGAGTAAGGAGATTTTTGTGAGGGAGAGACACTGGGAGCCTTTGAACTCATGTAAGCTCCTTTTTGAAAACAGACTGTGTTTATGTTAAGTACCATATAGTGATTATCAACTAAAATATGCATTTTAAGTATGGGAGTGGCATATTGTGAATTGTGGTATGTTTAGGATAGTTTTGGGGCTAGTTTTTGTTGGCCATTGGGCTGGTTTTGTTAAACAGATCTGGCAACCCTGCAGTTCAACGACTGCAGTTCATCAGCATGACCAATCAGAGCATTTCTGAGAAACAGAAGAAATTATAGGGAACATCACAATCTGCAATGAAATTACAGTGAAACGTTGTTGATGTTGTTGTTTCATCAATTTGTTCAATTATGAAATTACTTCAGTTTCATCTGTTAAGCAGCTCTGCAGAAGACAGTTATCATTATTTATCTTAAATTAGTTTAATGTTGATTCTGTTTAGTTCAATAGCAGTGTCAGTGTCAAATAAGCAAACGAATCCAAAATCCGGTAACACTTTATAATAACTTTTATTAGTAAATCATTAACAAACATTATTTAATGTTTAACGGATCATTTGTTAATATTTATTCACATAGAAATGTGAAATAATGTGCTTGTTTATGTTTACTAATAAATGTGTCTCTACCAAGCATTTAGCTAAACTTAACTAACCACCCTTTACACAAACTTTGTTACAGTAGCTAAAAGTCCAGTGCCAATAAAGATACAAAAAAATTAGTAAATGTTTATAAACATTTACAATTGATGAATACTTTCCACTTTAGATTGGGTACTGCAAAAACATTAACAAATAATGAATAAATTATTTAAGATGTGCAAATAGTTGAAGTCTACACAACAAATACTAAATATATGACCTTTACAGACTCAGGAGGCAGGAACTAATATAGGGTGGATAACGAGGGGCAGACAGGTGAGCACAATGAGGTGATAAACTGATGATTAGTACGGGCTAAGCCAACAAAAGGGGAAGAAACCACAATAAACAGTCTACAGGGGCGTTACATTACTCCCCCCTCCTGGAAGGTGCGTCCTCGCACCGTAGAAACAGAGGGAGGGGCAGGGGGGGACTAGGAGGAGGACAAAGCAGTGGATGTGAGATGGTGACGGGGAAGGCAAAGGGCTGGCAGGCAGACCAGACAGGTGGAGGTTCCGGCGGAGGACGGCTAACAGAGTCCAGGGAGGCTAACAGAGTCCAGGGAGGTGACGATGGAGGGAGGAGCCA